GGTAGCCAATGTCCAAGTACCAAGGGGGTTAGAATAATCCTTGCTGTATAGTTGTTGTTTTTTTTAAAACTGTGTATGTACATTTATATCAGGAAGGACCAGTCAGTCACTAGAGAAGGACATTATGGTTAGAAAAGTGAAGGGTCAGTGAAAAAGAGGAAGACCTCCAATGAAATGGATTGGCACAGTGGCAGCAGCAATGGGCTGAAGCATACCGACAATTGGGAGGATGGTGCAGGCCTGGGCTGCACTTCATTCTTTTGTACACTGGATGGCTATGAGTCAGAATCAACTCTACGGCACCTAATAACAGCAACATACAGATAGATATCTCAGAAAGCTTATGATTCCTTTTTAGGAAGATTGTTTGGCACTTTAAAAGTTTTATAACTAAAATCAAAGGTTTAACTTAGTAATACTAATTTTCTCTAAATGTTGATATGGACCTTATATTTCATATTTATTAGCAATAAATTAATATCCTAACTATATTGTTTGTTGTTGTTATTAGTGCCATCGAGTCTGTTCTGACTCATAGCAACCCTGCACAGGGTATCTGAGGAGTGGCTCTTGAGTTTGAGCCACAGACCTGTGGTTAGAAGTCCAATGTTTACCCTACAGTGCTACACCAGGACTTCCCCTTTAATCTGTCCAGGTAACTGATATAAGAGCGGATGCACAACTGAATTCAGAAAATGTTTGCTGAGCTCTCCTTTGAAGTAGGCCAAGGAGATTCAAAGCTGAGTACAGGAGAGTATCTTAGTTACCTGATGTTGCTGTATCAAAAACCACAAGTGGGTGATTTTAAAGAACAGGTATTTATATTCTCACAGTCCAAAAAGCTAGATGTCTGAATCAGGGTGTGACTGTAAGGGGAGGTCCTTTCTGAAGAGTGCCCCATGAGGTCCTTGGCATTCTTTGGTATTCCTGGGCATTCCTTGGTGTTCCTGATAACTATTTCCCCACCCCTGTGTATTTCTGCATCTGTTTGGCTCTTTTATAAACTAGTGACTAGGTTTAGGACTCCCCCTACTCTGATATGACCTCATTAAAATAGAACACATTAAAACAAACAAACAAAGAAAAAACAAAACCAGGTAACACACCCTATTTGTAAACACAGTCATATACATACATGGGTTAAAATTTCAACACATGTTTTGTGGGGGCACAAATCAATCCATGCTGAGAGTTCCACTCTCTAGGAAGAAGGATGAATGTATAGCAGTTGTCATGCTGGTGTTGTTAGTTGCTGTTGAGTTGGTTCCACACAACAGAATGAAACACAGCTTGGTCCTGTGCCATCCTCACTATTGTTGTTGTGTCTGGGCCCACTGTTGCTGCCACTGTGCCCATCCATCTTGTTGGGTGTTTTCCTCTTTTTTGCTGACCCTTCACTTTATCAAGTGTGATGTCATTCTCCAGGTGTCATAAATATTACTAAATTTACTCTTTGGAAATATTTCTATACAGGTAGCCCCAATTTATAATGTATTTAAATTATGATGAGTCACATCTTAGACCAGTCATTTTTTAATACATCATATCTTTAGTAATAAGTGCTGCTTATAATGTTGCAGCACATAATTTTCTGATGTCATCATATTTGTAAATTTATATTTAGTTTCTAACCCACAAAGACAAATAAAGATCAGATTTATAAAGATACTGGTAGTAGTAGTAAATAATAATAAAATGACAACTTAAAAAAAAGGATATTCAGCTTACATCAGAAGTATTTTATAATGTAAGTGTTGAAGCAGAACCACATTGTAAGTTGGGGAAAACCTATTTGCTTAATTACACAAGCATTTTTCTCTTTCCTCAACAGGACACCATTATGGCCTTGAAGGCCCTGTCTGAGTTTACAGCCCTAACGAACACAGAATGGACAGATATCAAAGTGACAGTAATGGAGCTTAGTGCACCAAGTTCTGTAAAGTTTCGGATTGATGAACAGACACGTTTTCTCCTTCAATCAGCAGAGGTAGGAAATGCAGTGTGTAAACGGGATGAGCATTTAAAATTCTGTGTAGATGATTATGAATGGAATGCTACTTGATTCCCATTATATTATTTCTACAAAGAGTTGTTAATAGGGCTTTGTAGAGAGACAAACAGAAAGAGATGACCACCTTGGGTTGAATTTGCCAGGTTAGGAAAGGGTGGAAGTGATGGGAACTTCGGAAAAACTGCTGGAAACAAGAGAAAAAATGAACATGGTCATACTGATAAAGGGATTACTACCTCGTAGCGTAGTGATTACGTATCAGGCTGCTATCCTCAGGGTCAGCAGTTTGAAACTACCAGCTGTTCCATGGGAGAAAGATGAGGCTTTCTGCTCCTGTAAAGATTTCCAGCCTCGGAAACCCTGTACAGGGCTGCTATGAGTCAGAACCAACTCCACACCACATAACAACAACAATCCACTGACTTGCTGTTCTTTAATAACACTATGCTAGACTCCTTTGCATATGTTTTAGTATTTAATTCTCAAAATAACACTAAGAAGTAGATATTTTTATCACCACTGAATATATGATGGAACTGAAGTACAGAAAAGTAGCTTCCTCAAGATTATATACCAGTAAGAATTATTGTTGTTGTTGTTAAGTGCTGTTGAGTCAGTTCTGATTTATAATGACCCTGTATGGGATTTCTGAGGAGCAGCTGGTGAGTTTGAATTACCCACCTTGTGATTAGCAGTCAAGTGCTTACCCTAGAACACTACCATGATTCCAGTAAAGATTGTTGTTCTTCAGTGCTGTTGAGTCGATTCTGAGTCATAGTGACCCTGTATAGGGTTTCTGAGGAGCAACTGGTGAGCTTGAGCCACTGACCTTGCAGTTTGAACTGACCTTGCAGTCTAGTGCATTAACCCACAGTGCCACACAAGGACTCCTCCAGTAAGAATAGAACTAGGATTTTAACTCATGATTTTAAAGGTCCTGATTACATGTTCTTGTAGGAGAGTTGAGCAGAATTCTTACTTGCCAGTGGAATAAAGAATATACTAGTCCCTAACTTTATTCCCATAGTTAACCATGTTGGACATTGAGGTCAGTGGATGAAGATGATGACTTCAAGACTGGAAATTGAGGAAGAGGGGTGATGGGAAAGAAACAGGAGGAACAAATTTAGGTATAGTCATTCATGTCATGTCATTGTGCTTCCAGGAAGGTCAGAGACCTGGTGTCCTGGTGTGGCACTGTAGGATAATCACTAGTCTGCAAATCATAAGGTTGGCAGTTCAAACCAACCAGCTATTCTTTGGAAACCCTATACAGGTCACTCTGAATCAGAACTGACTTGAGGATACTTAACAACAACAACAAGAGACCTTGGGGAAGGTGATCACTTTCATTGCTTTTTAGCCCCTACAGGAAGACAGACCTGTCAGTAGTACTACTGTGCCCTTCCAAAGGCAGAGATGGCTGTTCAAAGCTGCACTTCATTTACCTGGTTGGCCCTTAGCTTTTGATATGTGTGGCCCTGGAAAACTCTTCGTCCTTTCCACAGAGTGCTTATGCTTTGAGTAAGGAATAACACTGATTTCTTATGCTACTTGGAAGGACATTTGTTGTTGTTAAGTGCTGTTAAGTCGATTCTGACTCATAGCGACCCTGTATAGGGATTCCAAGGAGCAGCTGGTGAGCTTGAACCACCGACCTTGCAGTTCAAATGACTTTGCAGTCTGATGCATTAGCCCACAGCGCCACACAGAAAATTAGCCTAATTCATGTTTTCCCCTCACTTTTGTTTAGCTTCCTGTGGTACAGCCAACTACAGTTAATATTTCTGCAGAAGGTTTTGGATTTGCTATTTGTCAGGTATGTTATAATACTTATTTTTGCTTAGTAAAATACGACTTTTTGAATAATTATTTGGTTTGTGGCATTGCTGATGTTTTGCTTAGTTTACCTGCATAAACTTCCTAATAATTTAGATCTATGACCTAGGCAAAAATAAAGCAATTTCTTTAATAAAAAACATTAGAGATGTTACCATCTAATGAGTAGATAGCAATTGCAAAGATTGATAATCTATTTGAAAAATGCTTCTTGGAAATTATTTGCTTTTTGAAGTAAAGGTTAAAATCCTGAGATGTGATTCATGTGAATTGTTAGGAGCTCCTCCCATTGCCTTTTGTGAGAATACAGCTCAGAAATTGCAATGTTGGTAGAGTTTCTACTATGGCTTGATAAACAAATGCCCATTTACCTTGCAACTTTTTAAAGATATAACCTTTATATTCTAGTACTATAAAGGTAACATAACATTACAAGTTATTGACTTGAAAATACAAAATTGATTCTTTTAATATAGAACCTTATATTGTAGTAAGTATGGCAAATAGAACATGATTTGTTCAATGCTTTGGTATTGGAAGAGAACTCAAAGAAATATGCCTTTTGTGTGGCGCTGTAGGATAAGCACAAGACCTCAAGGTTGGATGAATCACAAGGACAGTGGTTCAAACCCACCAGTCACTTCTTGGAACCCTATGCAGGGTTGCTATGAGTTGGAACTGACTCAACGGCACTTAATCACAACAGCAGGAGTTACAATAAAATCTGTAGTATGAAAAATATTGACTGGAATAGTTATCATATTAAAAAATGTATGAAAATCATGGGGATTGTAATTATTGGAAACCAAAAATAATATGTGGTAGGATCAAAAGGGATTACATGTTTGGGTAGAAAAAAATAAACCCTGAAAAACTTATTGAGAAAGAGAAAAAAAAAGGAAAAGTTTCAAGAGAACAGGTTTATTTGCTAAGTAGGGCAGATAGTCAGATATAATATGGTAACTTCTAAATAATTCTAAGATTTTTTTCATGAAACTTAAAACAGGGTAATTTATAAAAAAAAACATTTTATTGTATATTGATTGAAGGTTTTTGAGCAGATTATCAGTTTCATCTTCAACAAATCCAAACCTTCGTTTCATCTTACTTGCAGTCATGTCAGTGTAACATCGCTTATCCTGTTTCTTCCATGTTTTTTGTTTTCATTCCTTTTTCTTTAAATAGGGTTGTTATCCCCCCATATAACCTTTTTATTGCTTGGCTGAAAATTGATCCATGGGGGTGGGTTCAGTTTCAGACCTGAAAACTGACCAAGGGTTCCTCCAGTCTCTCTGATTAGTAAGCCTAGTCTTTTTTTTATTTAAATAATTTTGAGTTTTGTTCCACATTTTCTTCTACTCTATCCAGAACCTTCTAATATTCTAATTCCAGAGTACCTTCTAGTGGTAACTGGGTATCATATAGTTCTTCTGGTCTCAGGGTTGTGGAGACTGATCTTCACATGGTACATTAATCCATTGGACTGTTTCCAAGCATCTTCAGTTTTTGTCACTAGTTTCCTCCTGGAGAAGAGGAAATAGTTGTATCTTAGATGGCCACTCATGAGTTTTTAAGATCCCAGTTGCTACTCACCAAAGTAGGATGAAAAACATTGTTTTTGTGGTTTGTGTTATGCCAGTTGACTAAGGTGTCCCCTGAGACTATGGTCCTGAGTCCCCAGGCCCAGAAAATCATTCCCTCAAGGTGTTTGATAATGTCTAAGGTAAATGCTTTATGAAATCAAGGAAAGATGTTTAAAGATAAAACAAACTGTATCCAATGAAAATGGTAGAGACAAAGTGAATTATTTGTAGTCATCTTTGCTAACAAAGTCCATGGGAACATTTTCATTCCCAAGCTTGCTTTTTAATATAAATAGTAAATCTAATAGTAAATACATAGGGTATTTTAGGTACTGTACTTAAATTGCCAGTTTGGTTGAAATTAATTTTAAATCTAATGTTGGGAATTACTGACACTAAGTGATTTTTACTTGAGGATTGAAGGACATGTGTAACTCTCACACCTACTGGGAAGAAGGTTCACCAGTCCTATCCTTGTATCAAAATACAGAAAAGAAAAGGCACAGGGATCAGCAGGTACGTCTCATATTGGAGAAAAAAAATTCACAAAAAAATTAGTCACCCAGGTATGAGATTTCTTTCAGTTGACCTTTTTAATAAGAGCTTGAGAAGAAGGAAGACAAAGGAAATTCTTAAATTTGCAGCAATGTTTGCCTTTTTTGGGTAATAAAATTCTAGGCTGATGGAAATAAACTACAAGATCTCTGGAAGTTTTCTGAGAAATGAGTTGAATGTTACTGCAGGCCATATATAAACTCTAATACTTAGTTATGTTGTTGTTTTTAAGTGCCGTTGATTTGGTTCCAACTCATAGTGACCCTGTATAGGGTTTCTGAAGAGTGAGTTTGAACCACTGATCTTGCAGTTCAAACCGACCTTATGGTTGAGTGCTTATCCTACAGAGCTACACCAGGACAGATGAGCATTAACTATAACTAAAGGACAAGTCTAGTTAGTCACAGTGTTTGCCTGATTGACATCGCTATCTAAAGGACAATTGCCTGTCATTAGAAAGGGGATGATGAAAATAATAGAGACTAGCTGTCCAAGTTTATGAAACCATTCTTCAACTACTCAGTCTTCTAAAATTCTAATTGTAGTTTAAGAAAGAGTTGAAGAATGCCTAGAGAGAGAGAGACAACCATATTATACAAGGGAGGAAGAGTTAAATGAATTCAGCTATAGCAGAATAAAGGCATTGGAACTCTGAGGTTTGCAAGATGAAAGTTTATAGGACTTTTAGTTCTGAAAGGTGTGTGCATGTGTTTTGAAAGCACAGACACTAAAAGGAAATACACCTTTACACAGCAATAGCAATAAATAGTACCTTGGTGTCAAAAAAGTAGAAGAAATAAAATGCTTAAGTAGATTTCATTGCATCCTGGAGTGATCCTGGCCTAGGAGATTTTGAGTATATTCCAAAGCTTCTGATCTTGGGATTCACTTGAGAAAAATGCTGGTCCTTACATTCATACGGAGTCCTCATAACAGCTTTCACGCTGGGAGACAGGATGAGTATTTGCTTAAAAAGATCCTGTTAATGTAAAATTCAACACTTAGCTTTATCATCTTTGATTTTTGTTTCTAAGAGTTTCTAAGGTTGTAGTTTGTGAAAAATTATTCCAGTTGGGCAGGCCAAATGAAAAAACTCTGTTACCGTAGAGTTGATTCCAACTCAACTCATGGTGAACCTACGTGTAAGAGTAAAACTGCTCAGTGGTGCTTTTTTGACTCTAATCCTTTTTTTTTCTTAAATGATTTATTGTGAATTATGTGATAGTTTACATGGGAGAACATTAGTTTTACATTCATTAAATCGTATATTGCCATGGTTACAATCCCCTCCATGCAGTCCTTCCCCCGTACCCCCAGGTCTTCAGCACACAGTCGCTCTCCCTCTCTGGATCTAAATTCCCCAGCTGCTCCATCGCTCCATGTCATCATCTCTGGCTCCATTTCAGGCATCACTGCTTCTCTGGGTAGGGTTCCGCTCTCTGCTCTTCTCCCTTGATGGTCCTAGGGACCTCCGCTCCTAGACTGAAAAGTTAATCACTCCCCTCCTTGCTATAAAACATCTACCTTTACATTTCCAACCCTCACAATCAGTCCTGATAACAATTATTCACTATTGTACCACAAGAGACCCGTCTGCATTTTATTGCATCAGCCCCACCTAGACAGATTGGATACTACTCACTGGAGATTCTACCTTCCTCCAGGCCCTCTGGATCTAGGTTCCCCCTTGAAAGCTTGTAAGCCAGTCACTTCTTGCCTTTGTAGCCCTCCACCCCCCATTTTGGGTTGCCAATGTCCAAGCCCATCCCTCTCTACTCTGTGTGTGGAGGGGGTGGGAATGATTCTTGCTGTAAGGACTTGTTCCCTCTTTTGAGCTACTGCTTCCATAGGTGTAGGTCAAGTTCATCAAATTGTATGAGAATACTTTTTTTTTTTTTCCCCTCTTCTTTTTACTTCTGGTTGAGCTCTGATCATCCAGTCATTGAAGCCAGGACAAGTGGGTATTATCAGCAAGTGTGGGTATTCTTGTGCATATGCCCTCTCTTCTTATCAGCTGGACGCTTCACTCTCCACTCTAGTCCTCTGTGGCTATGTCACTGACTCTGGGCCCAAGAGTCCCCAGGTCTTGCCACACTGCTGGTCAACCAGGTCTTCACCCGGGTTCACAGAAGTGTATTGAATGTTGTAGGGCTTAGCTCATTGCTTCATTGCTGTTTTTCCCTCACTTCCCCTTATCGTGTGGATTGTGGTCACCAATCACAGAGTGTATTCCCATTGAGTCTTAGTCTTGGAAGGGGGTTTGCACTGAGGGGACCCGACCACTTGCTTTGATGTTTCCTGGGTGACTGTAATCCTTTTTATAAATATTATTATATTGCTGTTTTTGAAAATATACACAGCAAAACATACACCAATTCAACAGTTTCTATAGGTACACTTCAGTGACATTCATTACATTCTTCAAGTCGTACAACCGTTCTCACCCTTCTTTCTGAGTTGTTCCTCACCCATAACATAAGCCCTCTGCCTCATCTTTTGAATTGCTGCTGTCATATTGATCCCATATAGATAGATCTTAAAAGAGCACAATGCTTAAAACAGACGTTCTTTACTGATTGTAGTCTTCATGAAAGTAGATTTCTTCTGTGCTATTTCTGGGTGGATATGTACTTCCGACTTTTAGTTTAGTAGAGAAGCACAAACTATGCCATCCACATACCTTAAGTTAGGTAGTTGTTGTTAAGTGCTGTCAAGTTGGTTCTGACTCACAGTGACTTTGTATAGGGTTTCTAAGAAGAAGCTGGTGGGTTTGAACTGTTGACCTTGTGGTTCACAGTCCATTGCTATCCTACATTGCAGTCCATTGCTATCCTACACCAGGAGTCTCAGTAGAATTTATAAATAAGTGCATGCTGTCAACAAAATTGGCAATAATAGCTTCACTTTTCCCATAAGGGAATGCTTTACGTTCTTTGAGAAAACACTGTTTCATGATGGCCATGAATGGTAGTGAACGATTTTCATTTTGGAGCATAACCCAACAGTTTTCACAATTAAAATATTTATTGCTTATAAATATTTACAGTGATGTTTGTTGATAATGAAATTTTATTAATAGAGCTATTTTTTATTTTCAGTTTGAAGATTATTCCAAATCTAATTGAGGTTATTTTTGTTGTTGTTAAGTGCTGTCGAGTTGGTTCCAACCCATAGCGACCCTGTGTAGGGTTTCAGAGGAGTAGCTGGTGAACTTGAACTGCAGACCTTGCAGTTCAAACGGTTTTGCAGTCTGGTGCATTAACCCACAGCACCACACCAGTTATCCCACCGAAAATCAATGCATAATATTTAGAATATATAATGTCAATTTATTATTAATAATGTACTGCTAATTCATTCTTGTTTGTTGCAGTTCAATGTTTTTTATAATGTGAAAAATTCAGAATCTTCTAGAAGAAGACGATCTCTCCCAAATCAGGAAGCCTTTGATTTAGATGTTGCTGTAAATGATAATGAAGATGATACCAACCACTTAAATTTGAGTGTTTGCACAAGGTAGGTGTTTGTTTAGGTCCCTCCTCCTCTTTTTTTTTTGGTGAGCCCTATGTGTTAGAGTAAACTGCTCAGTGGTGCTGGGCAGTGGATTTAGTTTTGTAGACTAAGTTTCATATAGTTATTTAACCATACAATGACATATAGCTGCTTAACCATATCAATAGAAGGAGTTATATTTAACAAACAATTCAGTTTGTTAAATACAACTATTAAATATAATAAACAATTCAGTTATGTATTGCACTTCACAGTACAAAAGTGAAATACTGCTAATTATATTTAAGCCTTTCTTAAATTTGTCCAAAAATTATATATAAATGTTTCTTTTATATATAACAAGTTTGAATAGAAATACATATTAATAAGTTCCAGGTATAATTTAAGAAAATGTTAAATTAACCAGTCATGTGTAGCACTTGACCACAAGGTCAGTTTGAACTTCATGGTTGTCAGTTCAAACTCACCAGCCACTTTTTGGAAACCTTATATAGGGTCGCTATGAGTCAGAACCGACTTGACGATATTTAACAACAACAACAACAACAATTTAATATTAAAAACATTGTTATTTCTTATTGTGAGCTAGCTTTTAATTGAAATAATTATTCCAGATTCATATTTAACCTGTTAGGTTTGTAATTCCAAACTTCACAGCAGTCATACAAATGTAATGAAGAGAGTAAATAGATAGTGTAGACACGGCAAACATATTCTCATGTACTTGGATACGTAGCACTTAGCGTAAGCTTCTGAGAGTGCTTATTATTATGACGCTTAAATTTGGTCTATATCCAAAGCACCTGAGGAACTTGTAAAATCATGAGACGAAGGGATCCTGTTGCAAAACTGTTGGCTTCACAGAGTCAGGGTCAGTGAAGCTGAATTTTAAAACTTTTTTGGTCATTCTAATGTATGCACCCGTATGAGAACTATTCCTTTGAAAAAGAAGAGACTTTACAATTTCTTCCTCATGGAAATCTAGCCTCTTAGCTCCAAAGTGTTTGGCAGCTGGGCTTTAACTGAACAGGTGCATCGATCCCAAAGAGTGTGTTGAATCTGTGTGTTTGAAATATCAACGTTGTGGTTGACCTTAGCTGCTATTGGGCCTAAAGTCACAGAAGTAGACCTGAGCTTCCAGATGATCTTAAAGGTCATCTTTGGGTGTTCTCCAGGTGATCTACCTTCTTTTGCATTTCCTGGACCCACCACTGTTTTTTCCTTTTGTTCCCATTTACACACTCTCTCTCTGCCACCTCGTTCATGATTTTGGTGTAAAAATGTCACATGCTTTTGCCCCATTTCTCACCTTTGTGGCATTTTGGGCTAGCAGTATGGGTGTATCAGAATCTCTGCAGTTGTTTCCTTTAAGCTGAGAAGAAAGTTGTTGTTAATGCTCTCAATTTGGTTCTGACTCATAGCAAGCCTGTACAGGTTTTCCAAGGAGCAGCTTGTGGGTTTAAACTGCTGCCCTTAAGTTGTTGTTAGGTGCTATTGAGTCGGTTCTGGCTCAAAGTGGCCCTGTGCACAACAGAATGAAATACTGTCTGGTCCTGTGCCATCCTCTCAATTGCTATGTGTGAGCTCATTGCTGCTTTCATTGTACCAATCTATGTTGTAGGGGTCTTCCTCCTTTTTGATGACCCTCTCCTTTCCTTTACCAAGCACATGTCCTTTTCTCAGGACTGGTCCACCCAGATAATATGTCTGAAGTATGAGAGACAAAGTCTGGTCATCCTGACTTTTAAGGAACATTCTACCTGCACTTCTTCCAACACAGATTTGTTTGTTCTAACAGTCCACGGTACTTTCAATATTCTTCTTCAAATACCATAACTCAAATGCGTCAATTCTTCTATGGTTTTCCTTATTCTTACCCTTATTTTCTGAGTTGTTCCTCACTCATTAACATAAGCTCATTGCCCTCTGTCTAATCTTTTGAATTGCTGATGTCATTTTGATCCCATATGTTGTTAAGTGCTGTCGAATCGGTTCCCACTCATAGCGACACTGTTTAGGGTTTCTGAGGAGTGACTGGTGAGCTTGAACTGCTGACTATGTGTTTCAAATTGACCTTGCAGTCTAGCACATTAACCCATAGCACCACACCAGGATTCCATATAGATAGATCTTCAAAGAGCATAATGCTTAAGGCATAATGGTCTGTAGTCTTTATGAAACTAGAAGAATCTACTTTTATAATAGTAATGCTTTGGGGTAGGTTCAAACCTCCAACTTTCACATGCATAAAAGGCAATTGAAAATATGTCATGGGTCAACTGAACAAATCAATATCACTGATATCTTTACTCTTGGACACTTTAAAATTACACCTTAAGTTGTGGCTTTTGTTAAGTGCTGTCAAGTTCTGATTCATAGTGACCCTGTATAGGGTTTCCGAGGCTGTAAATCTTAAAGTGAGCAGAAAGCCTCATGTTTCTCTTGCAGGGCACCTAGTATACTTGAACTGCTGACTTTGTGATTAGTAGCCCAGCTCTTAACCTACTCCACTAGGGCTCCTTTCACTTTAAGTAGGTCCCCTATTATTCTTTATTAAGCTTGCAATTGTGCTATATTCCAGAATAATACATTAAATTATTATTATTATTATTATTATCATCAACCTATTGTTAAGTGACATGGAGTTGATTTGACCCATAGTGACTGCTGTGTGAAGAGTAGAACTAACCCTATACCATTTCCTCGGCTGTACCCTTTACAAAGCAGACTGCTGTATCTTTCTTCCACGGTGTTACTCGATGGGCTTGAATGGCAACCTCTTTGTTAGCAGCTAAGTATGTAACAGTTTTGCCACAAGAGCTCTTTATTGTATGCATAGCAACATATTTTTATTACAGACATGTTCTAGACACTGCTCCAAATGCTTTTATATGCATCTCAATCATTACAATCACTCGATGAAGTAGGTGCTATTATTATCATCACTGTTTTTCTCATTCATTCATTCATTCATTCATTCATTCATTCATGTGTTTATTCACTCAGTAAATATTTGATGAATCTGTACCATGTACCAGGCCCAGTGTCAGGTGTGAGCCAAATGAGATCGGCCGAAACTTTATGAAGTTTCCTACTTTGAGGGGAAGACATATAAAACATTAAAAAAAATTTTTTCAACAAGTGTAAAATTTTAGTTCTGACAAAAGCTAAGAAGAGTCTCATGCAGCTGTTTGAGGGGGATTTTACCTTTCATGGAGTCAGATGAAGAAATGAGGTGAAAGGGCCTCACCATTTATGGGGGCTGCTTATGTGAGGATTCAAGATTCTAGCTCTTACATCCAGCTTTGGGAATCAGGTACACAATGTAGGCTTTTGGTAGGCACTTTGGCTAATATAATGAAAGTCACTGTATGTAAACAGATTGGCTGTTTTTCTCATCTGTAATTCTTGCTCCAGTACATACACCTAGTTTCAGTCCAGTTTGTTTGCTTTCAATCGCATCTATTTTGGCTAAGTGTACCACCTAGCAGGTGATTTCAGTTGCTTCACATTGTGGTGCCAGCTGAAGTTAGCAGATGTATGGCTTTTCAGCTAATCTTGTTTGGCAGGTAGGGTATTGCTGCTCTAAAAGCAAGTTTCTCTTGCTTTTGCCATCTGGAATCACAGCAGGAACTAATTTAACAATGTGTCACCCTTTCATGTTGGAGACAAACACCTTTCCATAACCCTGCCAGGCTCTACCTACTCCAGACAACAAACTCTTGCCACCTATTCATTTTAGAAAAAAAATTTTTTCTCAAGGGGACAAAATGTTGTTTGTGCTCAAATCCTTTGTGTACATCAGGATGAGAGAACAGTGCAGTGTAATAAACTTTCTGAGGCTTGTAATTTTCTTCAGGTGGCCAAAGACAAATGTGCTCCAAGTGTGTGGGAAAACCTTGCCCTACTGGTCTTCTTTTGTTGAAACCAGATGAAGCAAAGTTTGCCAAGGAGTTGGCTGGGGTCTCCTGCTAAGTGGACAAGTAATGTCTCCTTTTAAGTTCCTGATTTTCAGCTGGGAAGTTTAGTGCTGTCATCTCTTGAGAATATGAAGAATGCAATTCAGTTTGGAATCACCACTAAGAAAGCTGAATTGTTGAAAGGACACGTGGGTTGTACCTTTATGCAGGCATTACGTATTACCTGTCAAATGAATAGATGGTCATGTCATGATTTCTCATATGGTAGGAAGTTATAAGAATGTCACACAGACAGGAAATGGTAACCTGGTTTACAGTTTTCTTGATTAAAATTTTTTTTCTATGGTTTTTATTTGAATTTGAAGAAAAAAAAAATTGGAGTAAGACTCTTGGCGTTTCTGCATGAAGATCATTTATTAACATCAGCTTCAGTTTTCTCTAAAAGAGCTTCCTTTCATCCTTTTTTCTTTGATTTAGGTTTTTGGGGCCAGCCAGGAGTGGTATGGCCCTTATGGAAGTTAACCTACTTAGTGGTTTTACTGTGCCTTCAGATGCAATTCCTCTGAGCATGATGATTAAGAAAGTGGAGCATGATCATGGAAAACTCAACCTATACTTAGATTCTGTAAGTAGTAAAACGTACTTTTTACATAGGTAACTACTGTCAAAGCCATCATTTGCTGTGCTACGATGTCTACCTTACTTTAAGCATGTTTTATTGAAGTTGCTATTAGCTCAACTTTTTGTGTCCTTAGATTATTTTAGCATGGTAATGGTGGTTATGTGCTGTGAAGTTGGTTTTGACCTTAATTATTTTTCAAGTTCAAAATCAGGCTCATAGATTTCCAGTAGTGCACGGGATCTTCAAAAAGTTCATGGAAAAATTCTGTTAATTTTTCATTTAATTTTTCCATGAACTTTTGAAGCCCCATTGTATTTAATATATGAAAATTCCTGAACAGCAAAAGAATCTAGAGATGAAGTAAATGTCAACAGGATTTAAATCTCTGTGTTTTTTTTAAAGCTATTTTCTGAATCTTTTAATTTGCTTTAGGTCTTCAAAAACCACTCTAGTTTAAAGCTTGTTAAAATTCACTTCGTCTCTAGATTCTTTTTTTTATTTAGTGACGTAATTAGTGTTGGAGTTTGTCCTATGTGTCTGACAGTCTTACTAATGGTTAGCTTAATTTGAGTGTCCAGAATATTTTGACTGATTATGTTGACTTCTCATTACTGCTCTCGGCAAGTTATGGACAGTTTGAAGGAATTTGCAAATTTCAGATTCCTTATTTAATTGTTTGCCAAGTAAGCATAAGCTGTGTTTCCTATAGTCAAATGTTCCAGCCTTTTGTGCTTCTTATCTGTCACTCATTGGTTGTGGGGTACACCTCCAGCCTGGGATTACTTCTTGGGTCACATGGCTCCAATGAACTGAGGACAATTCTCCAGAGATGAGGGCTGTGAGTCATTGTTGTTGTTGTTAAGTGCCGTCAAGTCGATTCCGACCCAAGGAGCAGCTGGTGAGCTTGAACTGCCAACCTTACAGTTCAAAGAACTTTGCAATCTAACATGTTAACCCACAGTGCGTGAGTCATTAGCACCCCTTGTTCACAATAGCTGGGGATTGTGCACTGCCTGGGACAGGGGATCTGAGTGAAGTACCATGGTCACAGGAGCTATGTCCTTGGTGTTGCTGTTGTAGTCACTCGAATCCTTAGCGTCCCTTTCAAGTAAAATGGAAGTAAGAACAATACCTATCTTACAAAGGCTGCTTGGAGTCCTGGTGTGGAGGTGTGGATAAGCACTGGACTATTAACCATAAGGTTGGCAATTCAAACTCACCAGCTGCTCCTTGGAGACCCTATACAGGGTCCGCTGTGAGTCAGCACTGACTAATGGCACTTAACCACACGACAACGGTTGCTTTATGAGTGAAATGAGATAATTCATTAAAAGCATTTGGTGTGCAGTACAGTACCTGTCACATAGAAGTCCTCCCTAATTGTTAGCCTCTATCTGCTTCCTAAAATTGTAAGAGAAGGAAGTAACTTATTTAATAATGAACACACTGTTGGCCACCCCCTCAAGCATCTTTTGTGTTTTCCAAGGTAAATGAAACCCAGTTTTGTGTTGATATTCCTGCTGTGAGAAACTATAAAGTTTCAAATACCCAAGATGCTTCGGTGTCCATAGTGGATTACTATGAACCAAGTAAGTGTATTCTGGAATCCTTAATGCTGTTATTTAAAAGTTAAACTAGGCATTTATTTGGTTTTACAAGTGACTACTTCACCTTTTGGATTGCTTGTTGGATAACTCATGGGGTGGAGAGGACTGGAAGTTTGGGAGCAGGAAGTGAGCTTTCCATTTAAATGACAACAATTGATCATTTAAAAAAATCCCATGATATCATTTAGCATATGAAAATTAAAAAGTGATGTTTTTTATTTGTAATGTTCTCGGTTTTTAATTCATAGTTACCAAATTTACAAAAACAAATTGACAAAATCTAGTTGTGTTCAGTTCCCAGGGTTGTACTTATAATCCAAGCACACATTTCATCTGCTTCCTACTTTAAATGAAAGTTCTTCAAGAGAGAACAGAAGCAACATCCGCAATATAAATAGCATCAGCTATTTGGGCTCAGCTTTTGTTTATTGAGGGAGTCTGTTGTTTTGCTAAAATTTATATATTATAGCAGTTTGTGTGTGTGTCAAGAAAAAATAGTAAAATCACTTGAACTGCTTTGATTTTACTGGTAACTTCTTTCTTTATATAAAATGACAGAAATTTAGATGTAGAAGCAGAAATCCAGACTGGATCAACCAAAGCAACAAATCTATGCTCAGTCACAGAATGGAATTTTTTGTGAGTGTGTGATGCCAGGTCTAACATTTCTAATCATAGTAAGTCTTATCCTGGTAGCACAGAGTCAGGTGAACATTTTCAGGTATTAGGTTGTTGTAGACAATTGAACTTTAAAGTAAAATGAACATGTTCACATTGCTGGTAGCCTTTGATAGAACTCTCATTTAAGTGTTAAGGGATATCATCAGTTCCCTCCCCTTTTAAGTCATTAAACCAATTTCTTTCATTGTTTGCCTCTTGTTAAATTACTTTGTTTGGAGAAGAGCCTATATATAAGTTGTTATGGAGCAGTTTGGGAAAATGGTGATACAGTGCTTCTGTCTCCCAGGGGAGGAGAGATATGATGCACTGTAGAGACCCATTGAAAGTACCAACTTATCCAACTTTGTGAGCTAGTTGCAGAACTCCCCAATTGATTCGTCACAGGTACACAGAGCAGGTGTTAACCATTTAAGGGGGGGTGGGGAAGAGATTCACAATATGTAAATATTTTGTAAAAATCAGTTTATTTTTGAGAAGGCCATATTAAAATGAAAATACAGGAAAGATTAGAATAGTAAAACTTTAGTAGTCCTGGTGTGGCTCTGTGGGTTAATCCACTAGACTGCAAAGCTGTTTTAATTGCAAGGTCGGCGGTTCAAGCTCACCAGCTGCTCCTCAGAAACCATATACAGGGTTGCTATGGGTTGGAACTGACTCGACGGCACTTCACAACAACAACAAATTACATTATTAAAAATCCTAAATCTAGAAAATACATAATAAAAAAATTTCTGCAAAATCATGAAGATAGATACTTGAAAATAGAATGTGTTTTTTAAACAGAAATTGTAAAGTAAAAATCCTTTGTTTTCAAAATGAATATATTCACTATAGTGTTATTGCTGCTTCCCACAGAAATGTTATATTAGGTTGCGCTATCCATTTTAGCCAGCTGGGTAAGTAGTATCTAGGTATTAGGTGCTTAATGTTTTAACGATAAGTCATTGCCTAAGCAGACTTCTTGTACATACTTTAAAATAAAATCCATTGTGAAGATCTGTCTTAGGTAGTTCTAGTTGTTAGATTTTTATTTGAATGTGTATAGTGTTGCTCTTGAGGGGGTTATACAATGCTCAATTTAAAATCTTTCCTTTTCCAATAAGAGATTAAAATTGTGCAACTGCATTCTATTTTCTCTTTTAATTCTGGCCAACTGCTGGTGGGACATGGTTGAACTGAGAGCAACAATTGTTTCTTTCTTGGATTTGGTTAGCAGTTTGGACCCTTCTAGAACTTATGTAACATTTCAGTTTCTTGTAAAGAACAGTAAAATCATGTCAAGTATGGGTAAGCTCAGGAAAGTGTATCCAGTGCTCTTAAGTTTTGGTAAAGTAAACTTTTCTAGACAAGGGAGGTATGTAAACTGATGTCTGCTTTTTTGAACAGGGAGACAAGCGGTGAGGAGTTACAACTCCAGAGCGAAGCTGTCCTCTTGTGACTTTTGTGAAGACGTCCCTGGCTGCAGCTTTTGCAATGCAGGAGCTGCAAACTCCATTCGTCACTCTTCAATCATTTTCCTTTTATGTTTCACACTTCTGTACTCTTTGCAACATTGGCTCTGATTTATTTTTTAAGGACTCTATGTCACACTAACATTTCTAGAAATCACATGTGATTGTTTTGTCTTTTAACTATTTTGAAAAGCTGTTTTTTCTTTATAACATTTGGGGAGGGATGATGTACTATCTAACAGGTCCTCGTGTATGTATATGTAGCTGAATAGATTTTTTCACCTGACCTTTGTATGTGCAACAAGAATCTGAATTGTTACATTTTCATATCTTTATTTCCCCTCCTGAAATGTTTTAAGCTTTATTTTTTTGGTATGTGTGATGTTTACTTTCTTTAGAATAAAAGTGTTGTTTTAGATTCTTCTTTTCATTTTTTAAAAGAAATAAGCCCAAGTTCTTAAGCATTATTATATATCAGTGTTTATTTTAGTATTAAAAAGGTATGCCCTGGGAGAAAATAACCAGAAGGGGGCGTTTGTTCTGTTCCCTTCCCATAGCCAACCAAACACCCTACCCTCTCTATGCTACACCCAGTGGCCTGACTACGTATGTACTTTTTAACTGAGCATTACTTCTTTCTTTCTAGAATGTTAAGTAGTGAATGTTTAAATAAGTGAAATGGTCTTTTTCCCTCCAAATCTGATAAATATCTCAGCCTTCTGGAGAGAAGAGTGAGAGAGGGAGATTTTTGTGCTCTATCCACTGCTCAGAGGTTGAAGAGTGCAATGCAAAGTGCTCTAAGAGGTACTCAGTGAGCTGTTCTCATGCTCTCATCCCCAGTCCCCACATGCTGGCTCTGTATCTGGACCGAGAATCCGAGAGGCCACAGCATATGCCATATGGCTTAGACTGGAAGATCCTAGACCAGGAAATATACTTTTAGTTAACAATAGGGGCACAAAAAAATGCTGTGTAAATCCCAGCTGACAGATCTGACTACAGACTGGGAAAGAAGTTGGGGTCTGATGGGGATCATAAAGTCATGGAGTACCTTGGATGTAAAGTATTTTATGGGCTTGGATGGATTCCTGTCCCTCCAGGTTCAGGTATCTGAGTGTCTGATGACTATCTACTTAATAACATCTTGTGCTGGCTGTGAATCTATAAGGAATTTCTAATTTTGAACACTAGAATCATTGGTCTTCCTGTATCCAAAAGGATTGTTGTTGTTATTGAGTCCGTTCTGACACATAACAACCCTGTATAGGGTTTCCAAGGAGTGACTGGTAGAAATACAGTGCTTATCCTATTGTTGTTGTTGTTGTTGTTAAGTGTCGTGGAGTCGGTTCCGACTCATAGCGACCCTGTACAGGGTTTCTGAGGCTGTAAATCTTTACGGGAGTAGAATGCCTCATTTTTCTCCCGTGGAACCGCTAGTAGTTTCGAACTGCTGACCTTGCGGTTCACAGCCCGATTCGTAACCACTATGCTACCAGAGCTATATAATATTCATTTATCTGTGTGAAAAGTTAAAAGAAAAATCCCTTCCTTCTTTCTCTTCCCTTTTCCTCCTTCCCTCTCTTTCTTCTTCCTTCTCTCTTCCCTTTTGATTTCTCTTTTAAAAATCATGACATATTTATGTGGAGAGATGGAGTGTGGCTGGAGACTTTAGACCCAGAGAGGGAGAGGGGCTGTGTGCTGATGACTGGGGGGCAAGCTTGCAGGGTGTACCCTGTGGTTGGTTGATGACACATGGAGGTGATTGTAACCATGGCAATATACATAGGATGAATGTAAAGCTAATGTTCTTCCATGTAAACTATCACATAATTGACAATAAAAATTTTTTTAAATGACATATTTTATATATATCAGAACACTTTTTATAGTTTAATTTTGCTCCTTAACTCCATGACATTTCTCTCAAGTGGACAGCAAAAAACAATTGCCATTGACTTAAAAGAGATTGCATTGTAACTTTTGAGCTATTAGAAAATAAATTCATTGAAATTAGAGTATGTAAATTCAATTTTAAAGCTAATTTTGACAACAATGTTGAGATGTGCATCTATCATCTGGCAGTCTGCTACTTAAATATGCAGTTGGAATGATACTATCTACATGTGGAAATTACCACAACTGTAGACAGTATAATTCTCCGTGCCCCATTCTATTGAGCATATGTATAGTGGTGATGGTGGTGTGCCATGGAGTCTGTTCCAACTCATAGCAACTGTATATGGTTTCTGAGGCTGTAAATCTTTAAAGAAGCAGAAATCTTTCTCCAACAGAATATCTAGTAGATTTGAACTATAAAATATATTCATAAACACTCTGGCCAACTATCCTTATTTTGACATAATTCATTCAATATTTCTGGCTGTTTCGTGGCAGTAAAAAAAGTATTGGAATTCTGATTTTTCTTTGTCATTTTTAAAGGAACTATTTTATTAACCTGGTGGCATATCATATGGAACTCTTTGTAATGGCCTTTACCTTTCCTAATTTGAGTTATTGAACCTTAGTACATAGTTCATAGATATATGCTATAAATACTTCTTGGAAAAGTTTCTTAACTAAGGATAATATTTATCTTGAGCTTGCTTAGTCGTTGCTCTGGTTCAAGGTATCATTATATATTCTTGGGTGCATCATTTTCTTGTACCTTGTAAGGGAACTCTTATTTCAAAGTCTCAGAACCTTCTACATTCTTAACAGAGGGTTCTGTTTTATTGGCCAGAGACTATATTCTTCATTTCTCTTTGTTTTCAAAGTCTAGTTAGCATAGCACACTTTTATGAATTTATAAATTCCCTATCCAAGATGATATTTATGTCATATCAATATATTAAGTTATATTGGAGGTAATTTGACATGCAGTTATTTTGATCACTACTTTGAACAGAGGATCATTATCTTACTTTCTTTTAGAAATTAAGTGGTAAATGTAAATTTTAATTAATTATATATCTGTGGGAATAGGTTTGTTTTTAAAATGTTCCTAGCCATTTGAGTTGTGTTTTAACCATAAGACTACATTGTGCCACATTGCTTCATGTCTTAAAATATTTTGTCATTTTGCATTTCAACTACTTTAGCACACAGGAAATAGATACTTTGTAGATGATTTCTGAGTTTCTAACTTCGAAGGACACGTACATTGGGTGCATTTGTGTCTATGTAGCAGGGATATGTGTTACATGTATTGTGACATATTTAAGAATAATTTTTCTATTTCATGTTCTCATAAGGCTATGATTTGCCACTCTTATGCCAGGTATATAAATTGGTTGTAGATCTTTATGATCTTTAAGATTCATGCTTGATAATTTCAAAAGGCATCACTTTATTCTGGCCCTTCAAGCCTTTATTTTTTGGATATTTTGTAGGCTGTAGTTGATGTGGTAGGGTTAATTTTTTTTTTTTTTTGTACAAAGGAAACTTTTAAATTTAACTTGTAAATCTCTTATTTTGAGAAGCTGTTTTACATATAAAAATACTGTTAAAATAAAACATTGTTTTTCCAGGAATTAAAGATCTATGAATCAAGATGATTTTGAAAGTTCTAATTTTAAATGTTATACTATTGTTAATTTTACACAGCTATGTATCCAATAGGAAGTCAAAGCAACTTTATAAATAAAAATGGAAGTTCCCATCTATTTATTTTCTGTGTTCTTTTTATTTTCATTTAAGGCATATCTATAGCATTCCTTCATTACCTAAACCTATTTAATTGTGAGAAATGGGATGTAGGAGGGCAGGTTAGAGTAAGTATCATTGTGTTGCAAGATTTTGATGTGATTGAGTTGGAAGAAATTTTACCACCAACATCCTCCTGTCTTCTCAGTCTTTTCTTTAGGTCCTAGGGTGGGGTTGGTTTAGAAGTAGGTGAGGTATAAATTAATTAATTCTAGTTTCTGGAAGCTTCATACAAATATAGAATGCATCATTTTCTTTACACATAGGAAATTGAAGCCCAAAATGCTGTATTCACAGCCTAACACTTCAGCTACGTATTCTTGAGTCCTACCCAGTGCTCTTCAATACGCTTTCTATCATTAAATTGACGCCCTTCTGAGAAAAAGTAAACATAGCACAATGGTCCTTGATTGTGGTGGTTTTTCTCCCTGACCCAGGGAACATTTGGCAATGTCTGGAGACATTTTTGGTTTTCACAACTGGTTGGAGGGATTGTGGTGTTACTAGAATCTAGTGAGTAGAGCCCTGGGCTGCTGTTAAATATAATGCATAGGGCAGCTACCCACTCTCAAAAATATCAGCACAAAATGTTGATAGCTATTAGGTTGGCATACCCTCTAGCTAACTGATACTGGACACTTCTATATTAATACTATATCCATCATAGAGACATTTGATGTTAATGTGGTCGAATTGGTTCTGACTCATAGCAACTTTATGCACAACAGAATGAAACACTGCCTGGTCCTGCTCCATGCTCACAATCACTGTTAAGCTTGAGCCCATTGCTGCTGACACTGTGCCAATCCATTTTGTTGGGATTCTTCGTCTTTTTTGCTGACTTTACCTATCATGATGTACTTCTCCAGGGACTGGTCCCTCATGATAATATGTCCAAAATATGAGAGACAAAATCTTAACCATCCTAGCTTCTAAGAAGCATTCTGGTTATACTTCTTCCAATAAAGACTTGTTTGTTCTTCTAGCATTCCATGGTACTTTTAATATTTTTTTTCAATAACATAGCTCAAATGCATCAATTCATCTATGGTCTTGCTTATTCATTGCCCAACTTTCACACACTTACAAGGATATTGAAAATACCATGGCATGGGTCAGGTGCACCTTAGTCCTCAAACTATCATTTTTGCTCTTGAACACTTTAAAGAGGTCTTGTGTAGCAGATTTACTTAATGCAATACGTCATTTGACTTCTTGACTGCTGCTTACATGAATGTTGATGGTTGATTCGAGCAAAATGAAGTCTTTGGCAACTTTAATCTTTTCCCCATTTATATGAATGTTATTTTTTGGTCCAATGGTGAGGATTTTTGTTTTCTTTACAGTGAAGTGCAACCCCTACCAAAAGTTGTGGTCTTTGGTCTTCATGAGTAAGTATTTTAAGTCCT